ATTAGAATTTAAGAAAAGTACTTTAAGGGCACAGGTATCAGGCTAGAGATACACACAAACTAGGAGCTTCATTTTTCAAGAGAAATGCAGCTTTGTCTAGAACAACCTGTTTAAGAACACCTTTTTCTTTCCTTCATTAAGACTCTCGCTACTTTTGTAAGAATGATGAAAACACCTTTTGTGGTGTGCATGCAACATCACAATGCATATAAGAAAGGGGTGAGGTCAGCATCACAACACTGCTTTTGCCACTCTGGCTTCCTTGATACTTCTCATGGATGTCATGAAAACCTCACTTTTTGCCCACATCACTATTTCTTAGGGATGTAACCAAAAGAGGGTTGACAGATCTGGACAACTTCATTCAATTTGCAAAATTTTGCTGGTTATCTTCATTATTTATACATGATAAAAAAATTGTAAGAAGTCTTGTTAGGTTAGTGCTTAAACTGGATCAAAGATGTGCCATGTTGCCAACTTGTAGAGCATTGACCGGCAGTGATAGGGTACCACAGATCCTATAGTAGATCACAACAGTGGTATTAACACTTTTTAAATGTTTAGCTTTTTTTATAACCTTATTTAACCTTTTTCACTCACTTCTAAAACTGTTTTTATTTATTTCAAAATTGCTCTGCACTTTCTCCAGATCTTTAAGATATAACTGTTCCTTGCTCTCTTTGACTACATTATGTAGACTTCTGTGGTAGTGTAGTGTAATCCTTTCAATTCTGTTCCAAGCAGCTTCTGTATCCTCTTTCCTTGTATCTACTATCCATTCATTCTGTTGGGAGATTAATCTATCAACAATTCTGTTTCATACCGCACTTACATTTTCTCTTCCTGCAGTAGTTCTACTTTCACTCTCATTCAGTTCTTTTCCTTTCTTCCATGTCTATTTTTCCCTAGATCCACTTTTGACACTACCTAATAATGGTTTGTCCCACATTCAGAACCTCTCATCACCATTATATTCTTCTCTAATGTTCTCAATCACTTATCATTAACAAATCAATTAAGCTTTCAGCTTTATATTCACATGTTGCTATATGTATACATAAGTAGACTTTTATGCATTTGAAACAATCAGGTACTCACAGAACATCACCATTCTCATTCATTCTTAAGTCTCCAAATGGCCAAATTAATTTTTCTGTTCTCTCTCATTTTACTCCCACATTTATATCACCAACCACCACCCCCTTTCCCCTTTCAGAGATTAATTCACAAGACATTAATCGTCTAATATTTTTGCAGCATTTATGTAATTTTATTTATCAGCTGATCATTCCGAAGAAGTAAGGCTTTTTAAAGACAGGATGGGAAGAAAAGTACCATCCATTTTTCTCTACATACAGTGGTACCTCGGGATACGAACGCCTCTACTAACGAACGTTTCGGGTTACGACCAGCTTCGGCAGGGAAAATT